GTCTAAGCAGAGATGCCCAGACTTCTCTCTCACCAGGCAACCGACGTTCCTACCCTCACGTATAGACATGAGTGCTGGATAGTGACCGAAAGAATGAGATGGGCAGATACAAGCAGCAGAAATTAGTTTCCTCCGCAGGGTGTCTGGGCTCAACTTTAGAGATAGAGTGAGGAGCTCGGACATTCGGGAGGAGCTCAAAGTGGAGCCGCTGCTCCTCCTCATGGAAAGGAGCCAGCTGAGGTGGTTTGGGCATCTGTCTATAAGCCTCCTGGATGCCTTCCTGGGGAGGTGTTTTGGGCGTGTCCAACCAGGAGGAGGCCCTGGGCAGACCCGGGGGTGGCCTGGGAGGACCTCTGTATTCCCCTGGGGAGCTGGAGGAGGTGACTGGTGAGGGGGGGGAAACATCTCCAGTACATCTTAATTATCTCTGTAATTATCTGAATCCTGACTAAGAAATACATTAAAAAATTCTTGTCAAGTCCCTCTGCCAAAAAGAATGGAATACATAACTAACACAACAAAATTGCAAGTTTTATTTCAAGACAGCCTAATTTTACAAACAGGCATTTAAAAACTTTTGTTGTAGTCAAATAGAGGATATTGCATTGTTTTTTTGGAACACAGAATATTCATACAACCAGTTTAAGATTTTTTTATGAAATGATTGATTTAATTTATAAACAATCTCTTTAAATGTGAATTTCTTCACTTTAGAAAAATTGGACTAGGAATTAAAAAAAAAATTTCCCCACATTGGTTGTACCATTAATCTACAGTTCTGCATTGAGTTTCTCTCACAGAGAATATTCTGGACAATTTGTTCTCTGCTAGAGAGAATTAACCCAATAATTATCTCACCACTTTGCTTTTTTCTCCCGACAGATGCAGATCCATTTGGCTTTGATAATACATCTCAGATATAAGACCTTACATTGTTAGCATTGAAGAAAAAATAAAATGCAATTTTATTACTGGATGGTGGGAAAGAAAAGCCATAATCTGATTGGTCTTTTTTTAGTGGCAGGTGCATGAGGTGTGTGCTGTAGTTTGTGGGCATGACTTTGATGGTGTGCCATGTTTAGGTGGATGGCATCCAAACCTCATAAAACTCTGCAGAGGCTCCGAAAGCTGATAGCATGACTGCAGATAATGTCACCCAGAGACACAAATAAGCTTAGCATGTTGGCAGTTAGCTTAATGATGTAGTACGGAACTACTCAAGGAAGGAAATCACTCTTATCACCTTGTGAGACCTTTAAGGGAAGGACGTCATGATTTTTCATTCTTCTGGAGGAACTGAAACACTTTGTAGACACACAAAATAAAAGGATTCACCAGATGTAGGCTTTAAATATTTAGGATTTTGTAGTGATAGCAGAGCCAGAAATGACAGCCCGGGTGAGCTGGCAGAAATCAGATGGGCCAGTGACAAAATCACACCACAGACTCAGCTACATATTTTTTTTAGCAGTTTTTAATGACCCGTGGCATTACTAAGACCAAATGAACAGAGAGATACAAAAAGATTTGCCTCTCAACAGCACTCTTCCTCCAGATCTAAGATCTAAGGAGACACACATACCTGTCAGACACATTCGTTTTGTCATACTGTATCGCTCACTGTGTAGAGGGGCTGAGCTCCACGGTGGGGGATGGGGGGTTAGGGGGGGTGTGGGGGGTGGCTCGTGGGACCCATGCTGCCACTGTAGGTTTGTACACCTTTGTAAGTCTAATAAAAGTTTCATGGACTCAATACATTCACAAAAAATAAATGATCAAGTGTAGTAGTTATTAAATTCATGCATTATATGCTTTCACATGAAAACGTGAACTATATTGATACTGGTAAATATATGAATTAAAGGTGTCATATAGATAAGCAGTCTTCAGTGAATAGATTGGTTGAATAAATATTTTATATCTATATAAATATTTTATATCAAACAGACGTAATCTTTTATACTGAGGCTGAATTTCTTTCACCCAGCAAGGGTGAAAGTTCACTTCCACTCAAAGTGGAAGTTCCATTTTGATTTATTAGATGCAGGTCAGCTGGCTCGGTTAATTGGGGATGCAGGTTCCTTGTGTGCCTACCGTTAATCAAAGCACATTAATCAGGAAGCAAAGAGGTGCCGGGCAAAATCATTAGTGCACTGTTAAGGTCAGTGTCTGAATACCAGGCCGTCTCAGGCCGGGGGGGGGGACAGGGGGAGGGGGACAATGCGGGGGTGGGGCTGACAGTCTGCACCAGGGGTCTGGTGTTCACATCCAAGCATCCACCTTGTGTTGTCTTTCATTAAGTTTGTTAACTGGCGGGACTTTTAACGGAGCTCCCAGCTCACATCAGACCTGCACCCCACAAGGTTGGTGACATGGGGTGTGTGTATCAGTCAAAGCGACCGGCCTTTGTACATGTTCACACCGGTTATTGGCTGCTGTCTGATGGTAAATATGGCATTTATCGTTTATCACGAAATGGGCAAATGGTGCCAACAGTCTCTGTCAGGAAGTACGCTCTGATATGGAATGACAGGGGGACCTCAGACGGACCTGGCCGCTCGGATGACGCCCGGGAACCAGTGATTCCAGCACCGCCTTCCAAACATCCCCGCGAGGCGTCTGGCTGCTCCGAAAGCAGGCCCCTCCAGGGGACACGGAATGGCCCCGTATTCCATCAAAATAACGTGCGTGCTTCCTGAACGCGGGGCCCCTGCCAGACTCTGTTTTAAATCATCGCTGTCAATTAAACAAGCATGTTTCCCAGTGGTTTGCACGTAATCCATTTAATTTTTGGCATGATTGCATTAGCGTCATGACTGAGCTCTGAGAGACGTGGGCCGGACCGGGAATAACTTTATACGTGATACATGGAGGCAAACATCCCTGTTCTCGTCCATGATAGCAGAGAGGGTCCTCAGATTGTTCCTGTATTGTGACATGTGTCAGCAGCAGCCTCGGTGACACAGGAACGCATCGCCGCCCCACCGTGCCTCGTGCTCCAACAGGGAGGCGCCCTGCTGCCTCACCAGCCAATGATCTGCTGCCGGCTGCCTCACCAGCCAATGATCTGCTGCCGGCTGCCTCACCAGCCAATGATCTGTGCGTCTGACTCTGAGCGCCTGGCAGGGTGTGTGTGTGTCACATGTTTCATCAAACAATGTCCAATCCCAGCAATCTGTCTTTTTCTACTATGGATGAGTTGTAGGGAACATCAGGTACCTTTGGGTACATAGACATGGCAGCCGGACCCCCAGCATGCAGTTTAAGCACCAGCTAGATGCTGATTAATTCTATGCATGTGAGCAATAAATTTACTCCAATTCCACCTGCATGGGTTAACGTTAATATGCTTGTAAGGAATATTTCAATACATTTTAATATTAAGATCCTTTTTCAGGTTCCTCTTACACATCCCTTACTGTTAATCCTGGTAAAAAAAAATACTGAATGAGTTTTGAGGATCAACTGATATAATCCCCTGAGGTTAATAAGGTTAAAGGTCATCTCTGACTTGCTCAGCTGGATTAGTGAGATCCTTGGAGGTCCTTGGAGATCCTTGGAGGTATCCCCTTAATGTGGTGACGGGAAACGTCTCATATGGCTTCATCCTGGATATTAGGTTTAATTGACATGCTGCAAATCACAATCCTGTTTTCAAACCTCACGTTTAAAAGAAATTGCAACTGGAAACAGAGCCATAAAATGTATAAACCATCGAGGGAATTACCCAGGACGGACCACCAAGCCATCAGAGGGCACACAATCCCCCAAACTAAGCATTTCCACCTGTGGGAAATTTGGCAACTTCAGTTAACTTTGACATGTTTTTGGACTGTAGGGGGAAACTGGAGTACCCAGAGGAAACCCCATGACAACACAAGGGGAACATACAATTCAATTCAGTTCAATTTTATTTATATAGTTTGTTATCACAACGTTACATTGTCTCAAAGCGCTTTACAGCATCCCCACATAAGCCCCCAGTAAGCAAGCCAGAGGCCACACAGGGGCAAGGAAAAACTCCCTAGAAGGAAGAAACCTTGGGAGGAACCAGACCCAAAGAAGGAGCCCATCCTCCAGGGGGCAGCAGAGGAAGCCCTAACCCTAACCAGACCCAAAGGGGGAGGCCGTCCCCCAGGGGGCAGCAGAGGAAGCCCTAACCAGACCCAAAAGGGGAGCCCGTCCTCCAGGGGGCAGCAGAGGAAGCCCTAACCCTAACCAGACTGAAAGGGGGAGCCCATCCTCCAGGGGGCAGCAGAAGGAACCCTAACCCTAACCAGACTCAAAGGGGGAGCCCGTCCCCCAGGGGGCAGCAGAGGAAGCCCTAATCCTAACCAGACTGAAAGGGGGAGCCCATCCTCCAGGGGGCAGCAGAGGGAGCCCTAACCCTAACCAGACCCAAAGGGGGAGCCCATCCTCCAGGGCCAGGCAGATCAAGTCAAATGAGCAAGAGGGCGAAGTCCCAATTCACACTGTTCCAATTCCATATGCATGGATCCAGGTCAGAGACCCAAGCCTTGGTCCCAGAGGTGAGAGGCAACAGTGCTAAGCACTGCAGTGCTGTTATGTATCCATTATGTATACCAGTAATATATATATAGTTAACACGTGAACAAAGTAATGATTTTTGTTATAAAACCAACAAAACTGCAATATTTTACCGAATGAAAGTCCCAATACCTTCTGTGAGCACTGAGTCTCCAGACTGAGTCATTTTACCATCAGACTTTGAAGATGCTAATATTCATTTAGATTCGTCTGATTGTTGCAAATAAGCACGTTTTCCTCTTTGTCATTAAGTCTTATAAGCATGCTGGACGTAAAACATCAAGTTCGGAACTCAATTCCACCACGGAGTTGGATACCCAGCAAGCCAATGACGAATGCAATTACCCCAATGGGATCTTCATGACGTATCAGCTATGATCGAATCTGATTGCGTTTCTGCATGATGAAAAGTATTCCGTTATATAAAAGGGGGAACTGCTGAGAGACAGCAAAGGAGACCTGACTGGTTGGCAGCCGTCGGTGAAGGATTCGGCGTTTCGGAGGTACTTCAGAGGAGGGTATCAGACCAAGCTTTCAGAACCTCGGCCAGCACCTGTGGAAGAAGCATCAGCGGTAAAGCACAGGTGAGTGCCGGGGTACTGGCATCTTGTCATTTAACGGATTTTACTGGCTGGAAGTTTTTGTGGCGAGTATTTTTGAGAGTGGGAACAAATGAATTATTTTCACGTCCCAGTGATGTAATCTGCAAACTCTTATCGGTCATCGTGTTGCTTTTTTATCTCTTTTGTCCTTCTATAAAGTTTATATCCTTATAGCTTTGGGCAATCGAATTCAATCCAATAAATGGACACTCTTTTAGTGTTTCCGAGCATTGTAAATAATTATAAGGACGCTTACTACCATATTACACATCTAGTAAAGTTACACATTGTGTTATTACATATAGAAATATATTCATGATTGGAATGAATTCAGGTCTGGTGGAATTCTGCAATGAATGTAACTGAAAATTTAAAACGATATAATGGTGGATTGTTTTGTCTGAAGTGTCAGTGTATGGTTTAGAATTTTTACTTTCTGTCAGGTTTGTTCCAATTGGTGTATCTCGCTCTTGTGTAGATTCAAAGAGATGTTACACAGGAGCGGCTCTCAGTTCCTGCTCTTGATAGCTCTGTGTTGCGTTCTGTACTCTGGGACACTCAGTCTACCGTATACATCAATGAGGTAAGCGCTGTGAAACCCCGAAATCAAGAACGACCTATATGTGTATATATTACAGGCATGCTAAACAGACAGTTAAACAATTGTTTGTGTGATTGGGAAGTACGTATGCTACTTTATACTTTATACATAAGTACGTATGCTACTTTACTTTATAACACAATTCTCTATTTGTTTTTCTCAGTGACTTGCTCAGAAGTCTGCGTATAGATAAAGCTTTAAAACCATTATCACCGATATATAGTTTAAGTCACTGCCGTAATGATCACCCTAAGTTAACATGTAACGCCTTTAATGCACCGATAAGATCATAATCTATAAGATTAATAATTTGAAAACCTCTGTTTGCGTTTCCAATTTACAAGCAGATGCTATTCACGTGGATATATTTTGTAGTTCATATTATATTATAGACTGTATGGATAAACATCTAGCAGGCAGCTTTTTCGCTAAGAAAAATTAAAATAAGACAGTTACTGCCAATCCGCAGGTTGGCTAATCTTGACGGGGATAACGAGAACTGGACCAAGACCCCGTCCATACACGACTCCCTCCCAGAAAACTACAAACTCGAGTACGATTTATCAAATCAAATGCAAAGGTACGAATTCTGTTCTTTGACATGTCAAAAACATATTCAATAAAGATCTTATATTGGAATTTTCGCTAAAGATTGTATGCATGGAAAAATGAGATTCTCAACTGTGTTTTGTACATCCATTTTTATGAAAGGGCATTTGTGAGCGCATATTAGGTAATGCAGTAAGGCACATGTTGAATTTATTCTGCGTCGTTTTCCTTCCGTCTCGCTCCGTGTCGCACGGCAGACCCACGAGGCACGCAGACGGTCTCTTCACCAGCGGGTACAGTAAGCTGCTGGGGCAACTGTCCGCCAGGCGCTACCTGGAGTCCTTGATCGGAAAACGAGTCAGGTACTGGTTCGCTTTGCTTCATTTGCCATTCATCTTCAAATAATTCACGGTCATTCCTTTTATAAATGTTTTTTAACCCTAGGTTACAATTCCTAAATACTTAATAAGGTGTCATATGCATGGTGCCTATGTGTAATTTGATAAAATAATGCAGTAAATGTTAGGATGATCGCCTCCTTAAAAGATTTCTAAAAAAATATTGCTTCATCTATACACACAAATACCGAGCAGGACAATTGTTATTCGTGTCACCGTCTTTTTGCATCATACAATATCGCTGGAAAAAGCTTCCCAAAGTACAGGAAATTTAAACTGGCAGACAAGAGAGGGAAAGGAGGAAAGAGACTCACATGTACAATGCAATAAAGCGAAATATGCTGTCTGGTGTGTGAGCTCTCAGATGGTGTTTGTGTTAAAGCCCGGTCGCTTTGGCATGAAAGAGAATCATTGCGCAGCAGGGCCGACAATGTAATACGTAGCATATAATATGTAATACATTTTAGCTTTTTGTCTGTTTGTAGGAAAGGGAGGCAAATTAATTTAATTGCTCAGGGGCCCAGGAACGGTGCGGGGGGGGGGGGGGGGGGGGGGGGGGGGGGGGGGGGGGGGGGGGGGGGGGGGGGGTGGTGGTGGTGGTGGTGGTAGTGGTGGGGGGATACCGCCAGTATTTAATTTGGATTCATTCATCCACCTCCTCCCAAGTTGTGTTCTCTCTATATCAAACTCTCTCGCACGCCGTTGTATTTGTTGATTTTCTTTGTCAATTCAATGGAAGCGATGAGCTCGCGGAGGACCAGCTGCCTGTGAAGCGACACTCCGATGCCATTTTCACTGACAACTACAGTCGGTTCCGCAAGCAGATGGCCGTGAAGAAATACCTGAACTCCGTCCTGACGGGGAAAAGGAGGTACGTGCGGGTCCCGTAAAGCCGAATGTTCAGCTAATTTTTCTAAGAGAACAAAAACAGGTCACACTTTAAGTAATATTATTTTTATAAAACTGAACGGTCAATTTAATTTAATAAAATAACATTAAGCAAAGTGAGACCTGTTTTTGGTTCTCTTGTCTTGATCCCTCGTTGCGTTCAGCTCTGAAACTTTATTATGTTTAAAGGAGTGAAGTCCGTTTTTTTTTCTGAGCCAATTTTGCTGAAAACGGGAAACTGCTTGGAAAGAAAAAGTAGTTGGTGACCGAATGCCTGGATGACCTGAGCAACATTTTTGTTTCAAAGATATTTATAATCATTGAGACGTGGGTGTTCAGGGTTTGGAGAAAGCCTGGTTTTACTTGTTCTCACCACAACTGTGTCATAAGAGGCCTCAAAATGAGATAGCACCACGTTATTGAAAAGCAGGTGTATTTAACCTCAGGGTTATTGTATGCGTAATTGTGTTTTTCATGCAGAATGACATTTTTATATTGTTTTTTTGTTGCTCTGTGCTTCTGACAGCCAAGAGGACCCTCCAGCTACACAGGATGAGTCCACCAGAAGTGAGCTCTCCACTCCAGAGAGCTTGGATGACATCAGCGTAGATGAGCTGCTCAGTCATCTCCCATTGGTAGGGACCCAGGAAACTGCCGTCGGCAGTGACCAGTCAGGGTTCAGGGGGTTCGCAGATGGGCCGCCCTAATTGGTTCAGAACGCAGGGGGCCGGGAAACCCTGAGCCTGTGATAGACAGGTGGAAAGCTGATGAAGGGCTATGGGTGTTTGTGTGGTGCGGATGGTCGCGGAGCTTGTTGCGTGTACGTGAGCCCGCTGCGGAGTCACCCCCTGTGGACTCGCAGGAGAACATTGTTAGGTTTCCTGAGCTGGGGATTTAGGTCTTTAGTCTAATCCACCACATCTGTTACACAGGACAGGGGTGAAAGTTATTCCTAAGGCTGATCAAACAGGCACCTGTGTTGGTGAGGAGGTTGGAAAAGCTTGTTTGATACACGTAGACAGACATTTTTGTAGTATAAATGTTTGACTACCAAATGACTATCCAGACAAATGAGAACAAAATACATCAATCTTACCACCTTAATATATAACCTAAACATTCCTATCTCGCGTTTTTTTGTTCACAGACACTCTGAGGAATATTGGCCCTTGGGAGAGACAGCCGTGGTCATTCATCATCAGTGATTTTAATAGCATTACGAGGACATCAGTAATCAAAATCCAAATGGAAATATATCACAGTAAAAAAAAAAAGAAATTATATATAGAGTAAATGTTTACATTGTACAGACAATACTTTAGCTAGAGTTGTTGACTTGATGCTGTACATAATGTGCATTGGCCTTGGAAAAAAAATGAATTGCTTGGAATAGTCTTCTGTAAATGGTAGATCAATAAATGCATTTAAACAAGCGCTGTACTGGGCATAATCCAATTGTACTGTATCACAGTCACAGTAGGTACTACAGCATTCCAGTATGTATTCATATTAAACTATAATAATCCATAAATGTAATAATCCAGCACTTTGTGATGCAAGATTGGCCTAAGATATAAAAGATGTCCATTTATTTTTAAAGTCGCCTACATTTTGTGTGAGAAACACTATTTTATTTCTGCTGATAGATTATAGTAAATATGGGGGATTAAAACAGAAAACCCACAAACACAGACCAGTCCAATACTGGATCAATCAGCGCCTGCAATTTGTATTTGCAGTCAGGACTGGGGCAGAGCTTGGAAAGTGAGAGCTGGAATGGAATAATCCTGTCCCATTAAGGTTTGTCTCAAGGGGGAAGGAAGACCAGGCGGGCCATTGACCCGAAACAGCAGATTAAGAGAAACAAATAGCCCTGCACTGGAAATTCTGTCCTTCAGAACAACTAGTAAAGGCAAGACGTAGCATGTTATGTGTGAATCTTTCCTAAATATCACCGAAATCACTGTTTGATTCACAGGCTTAATGTCAAAAACGACAAATCCAGCATGTTGCCTTTCTGCCTAAGAACTCAAGTGAAACGTTGCACAATTGTCCATAACCTAAACATTTAATTCTATTATTAATAAAAGGTCATATTAAAGATGAGAAAATTCCTTTTTCATTTCTACTCTGAGAAATGTTTTTCAGAGCACTGCGACTAAATCTTTTACTCCACAATTGAATGTAACTTCCAATATGTGCAGCAAATAAATGATTATTTATTAGTGCAAAGAGACCCTTTGTGTGTTACATTTATTTGCAAAGACAGCGATTACCTGGCCTTCCCTTATCCTCCATTTTTGGTCGTCACAATGCCCACGTCTGTGAAGTGATAAGCAAAGAAATTTCAGTGTTACTTTCATTTAACTCATTTATCAGACACTTTTTTCCAAAGTGACTTACACTAGAGGAAAGGTTTACTTTTTTAAATGCCTGCTTTCTGAGATTTGGAATTACAACCGTTGCATTTTGAGCACCGTGCGCGACTTTGCTAAGCTGCAGAAGCAGGGACGTAATTGTGTGACCTGGTAGAAGATTACCAGGCATCCTAGAAGCTGCAGCCCACCAGTAAATGGGAGCTGAAGAGTGAAATGACATCATAGCAAAATAGACAATTCTGCATTGACGGCTTTTGCCATAGTTATAGCTCCGGCATCCCCGATACTGCCAACGCGATAAGGCCTCAGGGTGATGATGACTGACACAGTAGGTGCTCCTTCGCCATGTGGGTGGCCTCCTCAGGGGATTCCCGCTCAGAGGAAGTCCTGTCCCCCAACCAGCCATTATGGGAGGACAGGAAGACCAGCAAGACAATCTGTGATGCTTTTCACAATCCGCTTTTATGCTTCCAAAATACAGAAAACTCAGAAAGTGATTCTTATTTATGGTTATGCTGATGTCACCAACAGCACAGCTTTACCAGGTCAACCAAAGGTTCCAGAAGGTTCCAAAAACAAGATAAATCCAGATGTCACAATCTCAGGATAAGGTTTTTCATTTTCCAGGGGCTCATGTTTATACACATTTATTCATAGCACAATAGAAAGGTACAGTCTATTTTCTGACATTATACAACAAACACTACATTCTCCAATCACAGCACAGCAAAAACAGGCAAGTTATGAGTCAACGTGTTGACAAGACCTTCAGTCCAAGTGGCGTATTAGTCACAAATGTCAACAGCAACATCGTTTAGAGCCAGTTCAAATGACCCATGTGACACCCACTAGGGGTCTCTCCAAAATTAGTCACTGTCTTCTCCCATCAACGCTAATTTCTTTGTTCACCGTCTATTTGTTTTCGGGAGATATTTTGGCACCATCTTCTGAGGGTCAGCTTCGTATAAATGATTGGCTTTTCCCACGTTTTATATTCTCCATCTATGATACAGAGTCTACAGTCCTGTAAACCAAACCAGTCTGTGTTTACACATCAACTTCTCAGGAGCTGCCTTCCTTCTCGATATGAAGAATCCTCATTGTCTGTCGCGAGCCAAGAGACAGGAAGGGCTTGTGACCACAGGGGACAGGGGCGCAGAGAAAAGATCCTTTAGTGACACTTACATCTTTATTCGTCACATCTGATTCTCTTCTCTCAGACGCCAGGGGAAAAGCAAAATGGAGGCGGAGGAAACCTAAAAAAAACCCAAACAAATACAAGGAGAGACGGTCGGTTTGGGCTGGATGCAGGAAGCCACCTCTCTGACACCCGAAAGGGTCAAGAAAGGAGGACTTACATTATCTGAACAGCAAGATAAAAGAGCTGCATTCACACACTGCTAGAAGCATCTCACTGTCAATTCTAACAGCATTTTAAACTCTGTTTCTGTAAGATATCAACACACAAAATGGCACTTTTATGCAAACTAGAGTTACACTTCCTAGCAAAGCAGGAAGGGACAGACTTAGGGGTGAGAAATGCACCAGGAAAGATGACTGCAGCCTCAGTGCCACATTATTTTTCCTGCAATTCTGATGCAAGCAATTCTGGTCTACACCGACAATGACCCCCCCTCCACCCCCCCAGCCATTATCTGTGGCCATTATCAGCCCAGACAGTTTTGGATGCTGTCAATTACCCAGGGTGCAAAAATGCTGGGCACATTTGGGGGCTGTTCCCTTACTGTTTGCGTGGACCTGCTGGATATTTTATACGTCCTAACCCGTTTGCTTCAAGCTCTGAGTCAGTGATATTTATTAACTTGTAATTTTTAATACATTTGACCGATTAATAGCTAAGTAAATATATGCTAAAGAAACAGACTGCCCCCCCTCAAAAAAAGGGCAGAGAAAGGTTACTCAGAAAAGTCTGACTTATTAAGTCCTATTATTGGTTATCTTAATTGCCTGCCATTCCCCCCCATATAAAAACAGAGGGCACCATGTCTCCGTGGCTTTTTAGAGAGACTTCCCCCCCCCCCACACACACACCCTGGGCTCTGTCTGTGTCATAATTGCGTGCCACCACTCAAAGCGCGCACAGGGAAATGGAGGGGGGGGGGAGTGGGGTTCAGGACACGTGCCTGGATGGCATGGATTTCCTGTTTGGGCGTTAAACGCTCAGTCCCATTCTCATTCCAAAGTGGCTCATGGCTTTGGATAAAAGGGTAGCCTTGTACTCACAGCTCAGAAACAGAAACAATATCCTCGGTATATTAGAAGTATTCTGTGTGTGGGTCACACATTCATTCAGTCCGAAGAATCAGTACATCAACCCAAGATCCACGACTCCGGGCAAACAGAAAACTGGTGTATAGCCAAAAAGCACCTGCGCTTAAGAGGTTCTGCATCAACTAACTGCCCTTCTTTAAGGTTCCCCCTGTGCCTTTGGTATGCAGGAGGGATGTAGGATTCACGGATTCGCATCGGTGCACCAGCATGAAAGTTCACGATGCAATCACCCCGATTAAAAACATGCAATTCAGGCTGAACTCGGGATGCATGTTTATAACATTTTTACATCAATAAAATCCGATGTATGATTATATAATGCAGTATCAGAGACACAAATACGTAAAGTAAAAATGTACTTTCTAGTTAATTTATGATTTGCTGTCTGCTTAAAAGAATTGCTGGAAATATGCTAGAATCCCCGGACTCTCCAAATGACTCTCCTTACTCCCCACATAAGTTGCCCCTCCGTCTCAGTGCCGTTAATTAATACTTTTTCTTTTGCAAATGAATCAGTCACTCAATTGAAGTCATTCCCCAGCCAGAAGTAACATCTTCAAGTCGGCTTCTGTACAGTTTAGCCTATCTATCAGTGTGTTCTAAGGAATTAGGAAATATGTGCCTTGATGTACCTCAGTTATAAATACAGGAGAACCCCGGATCCGCTGATTCGGTAGGCCGAAGTTTCAGTTATCGATGCTCTACTGCAGCCCTAAAATAAGTAGCCTACATTAGACACTTCTGTGTCTGTAACAATTTGTGTTCGTTTATTACTGAGCTGTAAAAGTTAGTGCTAAAAGACAAATTATTAATGTGTCATATTACTCGTGAAATAAGCCCAATATATGCATTACAAATGTCACAAAAGAACTAAATAATGATAATTTGAAGTGTATTTAACATGTTATACAATACGTGTGGTTTAAGTATCCGACTTTATAAAAAAAAATAAAGCCGCGTGTGTGGTCTTGCGCAGGCCTAGGCTATAATACATTGTGGGGACGTAATTGAAAACAAAAGGTGTTAATGGGCAGGGGGAGGGGCGCCCCTCGTTTGGAGAGTCCGAGTATTGAGAAGAACCAAATTAATAAAATTAAACTACCTGTACCATACTGAATCGCATAGCACCATATTCTTTTGCATGGCATCCTATCGAATCGCACTGCATGGTAAAAGGGGTGAATAATATCGTATCGCATTAACATTTGTTTTATATTATCTTTTATGTATCGGATTGTTGGCTATGAGTATCGTATCGGCCTCAGTGATGGAGATGCACATCCCTAGTAGGCACTCTCCACAACAGCACATAGATAATACCAGCCTGAAATGAGGAACCATGCTTAGTGTTTTTCAGGGACTGGGTGGGTGGTACTAGTCTATCGGCACACATCTTGCCCCGAGGACGCGCACGCCGGCTCTGTCATTTTCGTTGCGCGCTGACAGCCTGCTGAGGACGCGACCTTTGGCTTTCCGACATACGGCTGGAAGGGGAATGCGAGGGGGGAGAAGCAACCAGTCATTTGTCATCAGCTTTGCTCCAGTGGTGCCCTGTGCCATTTTCCGGCAGCTTTGCGTGCGCGTACACGATAATGTGCGTCTGCATCCAACTTTTAGTATGCGCACATTACGACGCACGTTAAATGACCACTTTTTGTTCTTATTTTGCACATTCGCTTAAATATACGTATGTAAAATTAAAAACTTAAATTGATTACATATAAAATGCACTTCGACGTGTTTAAAAATTCTACCCAAGAAGA